CGTGGATCCGGGACGCTTGGATCTGTCGCAAACACACACCCACGGCAACCGCAACATCTTTGTGGTAAATAACTAACATAGATTGCAAATGTAATTGTGTGTGTGTGTGTGTGTGTGTGTGTGTGTGTGTGTGTGTGTGTGTGTGTGTGTGTGTGAAGCAAAGATAACTGAACTGTATGGTTGTTGTTTTTCTCTGTGGCAGAGCGGAGTGGATGATCCTAACTTTGCCTATGATTTGCTGACTGAACTGACCAGAACATTTCTGGCGTACGCTGATGATGTGAGAGCCCAGGACTCCGCTGCTTATGCAATTCAGGTACGCAACAGCTTTAATTATTTGTGTTTGTTCCTCTATTGTATTTATTTATTTTTGCGGGGTTATGTTGAAATGTTTGTTTGTATTGGTGATTTTATATCCACTGTAGGAACTGCTTTCCATATTTGAGTGTCGCGAAGGTCGAACTGACTCAGCAGGCCGACGTCTGTGGAGAAGATTCCCCGATCAAATTCAAGAAATACTGGAGCCTCACCTCAACAGCAGGTCTAAGTTTACACCTTCGTACACACATAGTCTCGTTTGTAATGGTCTCAGAATTTAGGACTTAAAAATCCCTCAGACGACAGTTATTTTTCCTCTTCTCTCCTCCTTTCTCCAACATTTTATCTTCTTGCCTGCAATCTTTTAGTACTCACTAAGTCCTTCCATTTTTTTAACTTCTCTTTTTGTAAATCTGTTATTTTCTACTCTTACCTGCAGATATAAGAGCAGTCAGAAGGAGGTGAACTGGTCTAAGCTGAAGAAACCTGTGTACCTCAGCAACAGAGGCAGTAAATTCTCTGACTGGTCAGCCACCTGGGCTGGATACCTCATCAGCAAGGTTAACCCATCTCTTTTTGAAGTTTTTCCCCAGCTTTATCTTGTTTTCCAAGCCAGAAGTTAAGGGAAGTTTCTTTGCTCTCCAGGTGAGACACGAGTTGGCCAGCAAAGTGTTCAGATGCTGTAGTTTCATCATCAAACACGACTACAAGGTCACAATCTACCTGCTGCCTCATATTCTGCTCTACATGCTGCTGGGCTGCACTCCTGCAGAGCAACAAGAGGTGAGGACACATCTGAACCACCACAGTAGTTCAGTAGCCTCCATCTCACCTGATCCCTACCATCCTCCTCTGTCACACCAGCCCCTCTGCATGGCCTCATTCACTGCATCCATGAATCCTCTAATTTACTTCTTTCCTCCTGCCTGGCAGCTTCATATTCAGCATCCTTTGTCCAGTATATCCACTATCCCTCCTCTGCATATGTCCAAAACCACCTCAGCCTTGCTTGTCTAACTTTGTCTTCAAACCGTTCAACCTGAGCTGTCCCTCTGATGTCTTCAGTTCTAATCTTGTTCTAATTCTCATTCCTTGTTGTTCCATTCTTGTTTCTGTCAAAGGTTACAGAGGAAATGCTGGCTGTGCTGACAGAGGGAGATGGACAAGCCGAGGGGCTTGCCCAGAAGACGGCCTCCAGCCTGTCACAGCTGAGCACTCAGACTGTGTTCAGCATGCTGTCACACCTTACACAGTGGAGTCGCCACATCCTCTACTCCAAACCCAAACATGGTAAGAATTCAGTTCAGTTCAATTCAGTTTTATTTATCCATAACAACAGTCGCTTCAAGGCACTTTATATTGTAAGGTAGACCCTACAATAATCTAGGGACTAATGAAAACATGCATAGCTTAAGTCACTGTTGAAAAAGATGTATTTACTCAGTCAACTCTATAGCAATTTATATTGCTATTATTTACATGATAATATTGAGGCTTTTATGCATTATTTGCATTGAACTGTATAAGAAAATAACTAAATAAAATTCAGTTCTCCTCATTGTTCACTCACCTTGTTGCTTTAATAAAGTAAAGAATTATAACATGACATTGCAGAGAGTGGGGATTATCAGCGCGTGGTGGCCTTCCTGAAAGATATCCCGCAGGATGTCCTGGCCAAGGCCTCTCTACGATCCAAAGCGTACACTCGTGCCCTCATGCACTTTGAAGCTTACATCCTGGAAAATAAAGAGAACATACAAGACCATCTCTCATTCCTGCAGGTCAGAAAACAATTTGGTTATTAACCATTAAATAAAAGATTGACTCAGGACTTTTGACTGCATTATAAAAGTTATCTTGACAGCAACGAGTCCAATAGTACAAGTGCACTTGTCTTTTAACCACTCATCCAATTAATCTCTGTGGTGAACTTTAAGCTCTGTGATGTACGTGATTGCTTGCCACAGACGCTGTACGCTGCAATGCACGAGCCGGATGGAGTGAGAGGTGTCAACGCTCTGAGGAGGGAGGAGCCATCACTCCAGGAACAGATACTTGAGCATGAAAGCATCGGCCTGCTCCGTGACGCCACCGCGTGCTATGACAGAGCCATACAGCTGGAGTCAGACCAGGTACCCAAACACATGCAGTCCATAAACATGTACACCCAGTTGGTGCGACTGAGTATTTCAGTGGTGTGTTCAAAGCCACTTTAATCACCTTTCTCGTTGATTCTGATACTTGGTTGGGTTGAAATTGATCTTGTGTACCTGTCTAAATGCATTGAGCTGCTACCATGTGATTGACTGATTAGTTATTTGCATTTAAAAGAACTGACATGCTTAATAAACCGGTAAGTGTACATATACTATGCCAGTTTTATATGTTTTCTTACAATATGTTATTTATGATATCGACATAAAAGATAATTAACTCACTGTTTTTTCTTTCTTGATCATTTCAATTATCGCTTTGTATAAAGATCGCTCACTATCATGGAGTGATGACCTCCATGCTCGGCCTGGGACAGCTGTCCACAGTCATCACGCAAGTCAATGGAGTACTGGCCAACAAGTAAGAAAAATACATATCAGTGTACATCTATTTCTTATTAAATGTAATTTTTAAAATTTAGGTTAATATAGGTTTGCCTAATGTAGCATTGTATGTCCATTTAGGCACCAGTGGAAGTCAGAACTCAACACCTACAGAGTAGAGGCAGCCTGGAAGCTTGGAAAATGGGACCTGCTGGAAGATTATTTGAGTTCAGGTAGTGCAGAAACACAGCATGTATTTGCAACATCTGAAATCACTGGTGACTACATGCTGCATGGATCTGCTTAAAGCATAGTTTTCTATTCTGTGTCTCCAGACCAGCAGTCCAGCACATGGGGTGTGCGGCTCGGCCAGTTGCTGCTCTCAGCTAAGAAGCAGGATGCTGAAAATTTCTATGAGAAGCTGAAGCTGGTGAGGAAAGAACAGGTCGTCCCTCTGTCTGCTGCCAGTTATGAGTGTGGAACCTACCAGAGAGGATACGAGTATATTGTCAGGTCTGTGGATGTCAGCTCAGTTTGGAGTCAAGTGTGTTGTGTTTTAATAACTTTCTAAAAAAGCTTTTACATGTGTTTAGACTCCACATGCTCAGTGAGTTGGAGCACACCTTCACTGAGCTGCTGAAACAGAGACAGGGATCTGGGTCCAACCTCAGCCAACTGCCTCCTCATTGGTCAGATCGGCTGGAGATGACGCAAAACTCTTTCAGGGCCAAGGAGCCAGTCCTGGCTCTCCGCCGTGCCCTGCTCAGTTTGGGAACGCAGTAAGGAAACATCACTTTTTAGTTGCACAGATTTTAACATGCTGTTTTTCTGAAACAAACACATTAGAGAAATCGGTTTAAAATTTCTTCTTAATACAACAGGATCTCTATATTTTCAAATCTTTCTGAACTCACATCTGCATGTATCATCTCACTCTGCAGACCTGTATGTCAGGAGCTGGTTGGGGAGTGCTGGTTACAAAGTGCCCGGGTTGCCAGGAAAGCAGGACACCATCAGACCGCCTTTAACGCCCTTCTCAATGCAGAAAATACAAATCTTGCTGAACTGGTCACAGAGAAGGCAAAGTGGCTTTGGTCTAAGGTATAACCAGGCTACAAATAAAACCAGCATTCAATATATGATGCAAAACTGTATGCAAATTATTCACATTTGTACAGGACCAGAAAACGTATTTTCTTTAGTGTCTTCCTATCTGCAAATTAGATTTTCATACATGTGCATAATCAAATTAAACTAATATAGCCTAATTTGTCTGCCTGAATGTCATCAGGGCGATGTCCACCAAGCCCTGATTGTCCTGCAGAAGGGTGTGGCTCAGTGTTTCCCTGAAGATCAGCCCCTGACAGATCCTCGCAGTCTCCAGACTAAAGGCAAAGCCATGCTGCTGGTGGGGCGCTTCATGGAGGAGACGGCCAACTTCGAGTCTAATGCCATCATGAAGACATACAGGGTTGATATATCTACACACTTTTAAACTAGATTCTGAAAATGTTTCATAAAAAGACAAAAAAGGTGAAAAATGCAATGATGCAAATGTCAGAGATCACCCTCACAGTGATGTGGCACCAAAGCAGATTTCTGCATCACTTGTCTTTACTTTATGTGTTGTATGTTTTTTTTGTTTTGTTTTGTTTTTAGGATGTGACTAACCTCCTACCAGAGTGGGAGGATGGTAACTTCTACTTAGCCAAATACTATGACAAAGTCATGCCAATGGTGACAGATAACAAGCTGGAGAAACAGGGTAATCTGATCCGTTACATCGTCACATTCTTCGGGAAGTAAGTTCTTGTTCTTTCTGCTGATTTGCAGCCCTGTAGACCCAGAGTCTCCAACTCCAGTCCTCGGTCCTGCAGCTTTAATATGCATCTCTACTCCAACACAGCTGAATCAAATGGTTGGATTAATTCTTCAGCATGCCATCAAGTTTGCCAAAGGCCTGATAACAAGCCATTCATTGATTCAGGTGTGTCGGAACAAAGATGCATCTAAAAGCTACAGGACAGTAGCTCTCGAGGACTGGAGTTGCACACCCCTGCTGTAGACTACAATCAGAGCTTCTATTAGCTACTTCACAGCTGTTAATTTCTTCATCAAACAACACACTTATCAACTTTCTCCCTCCTAGTGCTCTGCAGTTTGGAAACCAGTATATCTACCAGGCCATGCCTCGCATGCTGTCTCTTTGGCTGGACTTTGGAGCTAAAGTGTGTGAATGTGAGAAAGGTGGGCAAATCACACAGGGCAGGGAGATATTTCTAGTTTCAGTCTAATTAATTTGCAAACTGCTTTCTAGCTATTTATTTTTAGTATTTCATTGGCTTTTCATTAACACTTGATATTATACCTATTCCTTCACCTCAGCTGGGCGAGCAGACAGACAGATGCGACAGGAGCTGAGTAAAATCAACACAGTAGTGAGCGAGCACTGTGCTAAGCTGGCGCCGTACCAGTTCCTGACCGCATTTTCCCAGCTGATCTCCAGGGTGTGTCACTCCAGCGATGAGGTCTTCAATGTCCTCATGACCATTGTGGCCAAAGTGTTCCTCACATACCCCCAGCAAGCTATGTGGCTAATGACTGCGGTGTGCAAGGTGAGAGAAATGAGCCACCCCTCATTTAAGGTTGATGGTGATTTCTATAAACATGGAAATATAGCCTTTGTAATTCTAATGAGCTTGAAAGTCAGTATTTGATATGACCACTTTTATTCTTCAACACAGCCTGAACTCTCTTAGGCAAGTTGTTTTGTCATTTCATTAGGTAGGATTAGGAATATTCAGGAATAGTTCTCCAGGCTTCTTGGAGGACATTCAAAGCTTTTCCTCGGATGTTGGCTGCCTTCCATAACAGATAATAAATGCATCTCTTCTTTTGTCATCCACTTATGTAGTAGCCACTGTCCAAACAAACCCTTTGAAATCCCTCCAGAAAGCCTGGGGAACTATTGCTCCAAGACCACTTTAAGAAATTACTAGAAGGTCTGGGTCTTTGGAAGCAAAATATAAACAAATGAGGGGTGACTATAAAGTTTAACATTTGCAAGTCTGTTTATGTGTGGGGGTTTTTTTTAATTTGAAATGTTATTTAGCAGATCAGTTCAAATCAAAATTACAATTTCTCTGTTAGTTTTTGTAATCAACTGCTTCTGCGTCCAAAATACAGCATTTATTTATGTCTGCTTTTCTTTTCTTTCCAGTCATCCTACCCCATGCGCATGAATCGCTGTAATCAGATCCTTAAGAAAGCCGTCAGTCTTAAACAGTCCCTGGAAAAATTCATTGGAGATGCCAACAGACTGACAGACAAGCTTTTGGAGCTTTGTAATAAACCGGTATACACGCCCATGCACAAATACACTTCAATAGTCTATGATTTCTCAATCCTTAAATCATCTTTAGGCAGGAGTAGAGATGTTTCTATATGTGTCTTACAGGTGAATGGTAACAGCACCACCCTCAGTATGAGCATTCACTTCAAGCAGCTAAAACGTTTGGTGGAGGAGCCGACATTCAGTCAGATCCTGATCCCTCTGCAGTCTGTCCTCATCCCAACGCTGCCCTCCACAGGCGGGGAAAACACACAGCATGATGCTTTTCCTGGACACTGGGCATACCTGGATGGTTTTGAAGACAGTGTAAGAGAAAGAGGGTGTTAACTATTCTGACCGGCCGCCACGGTATGTTTAACATTCAGCAGGAGTTGATTGACAGTTACAGAAAATAATCTTGTTTGTGTAGGTGGAGATCCTGGCCTCTTTGCAGAAGCCAAAGAAGATAAGCCTGAAGGGTTCGGATGGTCGGGGTTACACCATGATGTGTAAACCTAAAGATGACCTGAGGAAGGACTGCAGACTTATGGAGTTCAACTGTCTCATCAATAAGGTATCTGGGAGATTTCATTCAAACTAAATGGATATATAGTGAGTTCTGGCCATAGAGCGACTTGCATGTTAGGTCAGAGTAAACAAACTTACTAACTTTTAGAGGTTCAATCTTATTTTATGTGTTGTTCTGGCCTCAAAGTTAAAATGAAATATTAACGTCTTCTCATAATGTGAATAAAAACTGAACCTTTCTTTTTCTTTGCAGTTAGGAGCTCATTATGTAGCAGAGCTGTACTAAATCAATCAATATGTGTGCAAATTACATGACAATACTTGAGAAAATGTGAGAAGAACAGCATTTATATGTGCTTGTTTGTACTGTGTGTGTACTGTTGTAGTGCCTCCGTAAAGATGCTGAGTCCAGACGGAGGGAGCTACACATCCGGACTTATGCTGTGATTCCCCTCAATGAGGAGTGCGGCATCATTGAATGGGTTAACAACACTGCCGGGCTGCGGCACATTCTCACAAAGCTGTACAAAGAGAGAGGTATCCCTTACTTATAACACCTACAATCAAAAGCCTTTTCTTTTTTTTTTAAGTAAATGTTGGGAAGTAATTACGTTGTTCACCTTTTCTGTGTTTTTAAGGTATCTACCTATCAGGTAAAGAGCTCAGGAAGCTTATTCTTCCCAAGACAGCTCCCTTTGAGGAAAAACTGCGAATCCACAAGGAGGTGCTGTGTGCTCGACACCCCCCTGTCTTCTATGAATGGTTCCTCCGGACCTTTCCTGACCCTACGTCATGGTATGACTTTCACTACAACACTGCTATAATTATACTCCTGGAAGTCACTGCTTTACCAGAAATGTTAGTCATTTTCATTTAACATCTTGACCACATTTGAAAGAAGTTATTTCAATTCAGAATTTTTCAAAAATCTGCTTCAAGTGTAACTTAAATCCAAGAATAAATCTTTGGAGTATTTGTGTGTTTACAGGTACAGCAGTCGTTCAGCATACTGCCGCTCCACTGCTGTGATGTCCATGGTGGGCTACATCCTGGGTCTGGGAGATCGCCATGGAGAAAACATCCTCTTTGATTCCTTCACTGGAGAATGTGTTCATGTAGACTTCAACTGCCTCTTTAACAAGGTTTTTTTTTTTTTTGCCTTAGATTCAATAAAATATTATTTAGGAATGTTCATATATTTATTATTTATTATATGTATCCTTAACACCAGTGCATGTTGTTGCTTTTAAGTTTGCCTGTGCTTTTCTCTCCTTTTCCACTAGGGGGAGACATTTGACGTGCCAGAGGTTGTTCCCTTTCGTCTGACTCGAAACATGGTGCATGCTATGGGGCCCATGGGCATCGAGGGCCTCTTTAGGCAAGCCTGTGAGGTTACGATAAGACTAATGAGAGACCAGAGAGAGCCACTCATGAGGTACATTCACATAAAAAGTATTAATGTCAAATTCAACCATTCATAAATATTAAAAATGTGTTTTTGTTTTTAATTTTTCCTGCAAGTGTGCTGAAGACCTTCCTTCATGACCCACTGGTGGAGTGGAGCAAACAAGCCAAAGGACTATCAAAAGCTCAGGCCAATGAGACAGGAGAGATTGTTAATGAAAAGGTGGGCATGTTTCTTGAATTTTTACCTCTTAAATTATATTTACTTGCAAATCTAAACCAGAGAGACTTTATTAATCCCAGAGGAAAACTGGGCTAAATACAGCACATTCAGGTTCAATAAAACCTAATAATGTTTGTTCTTTACATTTCTCTGCTAGGCTAAAACCCACGTGTGTGACATTGAGCAGCGCCTGCAGGGAGTGATTAAGAGCAGGAATAAAGTGTTGGGTCTTCCTCTGTCAATTGAGGGGCACGTCCATTACCTCATACAAGAAGCCACGGATGATAAACTACTGTGTCAGATGTATTTAGGCTGGGGTCCTTACTTGTAGAAAGAAAAAGCACTCAATTCAGAAGATTATAATGCAAATGCAATCCAAGCACTTTTGACTGTTTGTTCCTGAGCCTTTTTCCGTTTTGAAAACATTGAAAATGCAGCACTGTTGTACATTCCCTTGTAATAAATTATTTTGTTGGTTAAATGTGCTGTAGTGTGTATCTTCTAATCTCTTAACCCTCAAACTCTCAGAGCTAGACAGGCTTGTCAGCTGATTGTTTTAATCCCCTGTCTCCTGCTGCTTCTTCACTCCTGATTACAGCCAACTGGCCCAACTTTTTACATAAAAGCACCACTTAGAATTAAATGTCTGCTTAAAAAGCTGAAAGTGGACTGGGTGAAGGTGTGAGTAAGAAGTAGGTAGTAGTTTGTTTTTGGCTAGCAATATTTTTCTTATCTAGTGATGAGTTCAGGTAGTCAGAAAATCACTGTATTTGTAATTATTACTTTTCTTTTTTTTTTATGCTTGGTTGTTGTTGCAGCTGGCTTTGGGCTAGATCAGGATGAACTTGGTTGTATTTATGTATTTGCATATTTTTAGTGGGAAAACACTTTCCAAGATAATTGCATGAGAATATACTTTTATTCGGAATAATCTGAAATGGAAATGTATTTGTGATAATATTTATTATCACTTGTAATCTGTTGCTGTTGTCAGAGACGACCGGTTTAGCTCGATGATGCTGTTATTTTCCACGGTTCTGGAAACTCATATTAAAGACATCCAGCTCGACAGAAGAAGCGCTCGGGATTGTGAGGAGGATAAACTGTCAACAGACTCTAACCCTATATCAAATTCTACTCTAATACATTAAAATACCAGTACTGATGACCAGAGTACACACCTGCAACACTTTTTTTCTTTTTCTTTTGTGGTTAACATCAAGAACAGACAACAAAAGTCAACGTGTTTTTAATTTGGATTTTTTTTTTTTCATTGATTTATTTCATTGTAATGACAATTAACTACAAAGTCTCCTGGAGGTGTTTTGAAATTTAAGGTGGAGGACCTGCAGGACCTCTATCTTAAAGTTCAAAACACCAATTTTAGAAAATTCCAGCAATCAAATGATCCCTTATGAGCAAGCACAAGGCAACAGTGGGGAGGAAAAACATGCCAAAGCAGCATCCATGATCCTTTCTGGGGAGCCAAACTCCTTGATGAGTCCTTTAACCAGTTTTTTGGTCAATCCTCTCACGTCATTTTCCAGACGTGTTGTAGACTCCGCGCTGCTGATTTCTGGTTGCACCAAGTTTTTGAGACGCTCAATGATGTCAGCTAGTGTTACGCCATCTGGAGGAGTGAGACGGCCTTTTCGCCTGTTTTTGGACTTCTCGAGAAGTCCAATTAAATGAAAGTAAACAAGGTTTTGGGATACTTCCTCCACTTGAGCAGATGACACTGACGCTTCTGAGAGCTTTTCCTCTACGTTTTCTGAGGGTTTGTCCTCAGAAACTCTGTCCTCTGACTTTTCAGACAGTTTCTCATCTGTGGAGGGTTTCTCCTCAGACTTCTCAGAGGGTATGTCCTCATGTTCTTTGGAGAATCTGTCCTCTGACTTGTTAGACAGTTCCTCCTCATCCTTTTTGGAGAATTTGGCCTCTGATTTTTCAGGCAGTTCTTCCTCCCTCCTCTCGGGAACAGGTGTTGAACTTAAACGAGAGGATGTTGAGCATTTCTCTGGAGACTTGGCCTGTCTTTCTGGAGATGCTGGTCTAGAATGACAGGGTGTTCTAGATTCTCTGCCACTTTTTTGAGAAGAGTCTGACTCTGTATCTTTTGCCCGTGTCTGTGCTGTTGCAAGGAAGTTTTGGATATCTTTAATAGCATCGGACACTTTTTCGCTCTGAATAATTACATCAATTGCTTTATCATCAACCAAGAGCAGAATCTTTTGCAAAAACTTTGCAACTGCGTCTTCTATGATTACATAGAGGACTTCAGGAGAAAAGGAAACTCTTGATTCAGCTGCTGTCTGTGGTGTACTGGAGATAACAGAGTCTGATAGACTTCTGCCCATAAAAGTATTGGGAATTTGGTATATACGACTTGTCATTAAATGGTCGTACATTTTCTCTGTTAATTCCCTTGAGAAATTTTTGATGTCCTCGCTTATTCTAATGTTCTCAAAGGTTTTTTGGATAATATAATGTTTTTCCTCTTTTGTGAACTTGTATATGTCAATAATTTCAGATCTGATGACATTAAAGTTAGCTGGAGTAGAACATTTTACCATGGTTTCCAGAGTAAATGAGCTTCTTGAAGGGGAACCCATTCCCTCAGTTTCAGGGGAGTGGCTTAGGTTTAACAGACTAATCAAATGTATTTTGCTCTCCTCCACTGTGTTTTTCAGCCCCTCTTTCATCTTTTCATAATGTTTTTGTGCGAACTTCAAAAAATGGTGTTTGCGGGATTTTTCTGGTGCGCAAGGAGCACGTGAGTTGAAAAACTCTCTCACTTTATCGAAGATAGCTCCCATAAATCCAGATTTGGGTGAGATACATTTCTCACTGTGGGAAGAAGAATCAGTGTCAGAAGAAAGGAGATTGTCAAATATAATATTGACAATGTCAGCTGCAAATTTTTCTACTGTGGCATCAGGTTCCAAACGTGCCTGCCTTTCAGCTTCTGCACATTCCCCACTTTCTGAACTTTCTTTCTTTTCTGAAAGTTGCTCTATTTTAGCAGGTGACTCAGTTTCTATATCTTCGTCGTCATCTGATAATTCATCATCTGCAGAATATGATTCTCGACTATATCTGGTCAGAATATCACTAACCTCCCTGATGGCCAATTCGCGTGAGATGCCGGACTCACTGCTGTCTGTGCTGGATTCAGATTGACTTGAATCGCTTACCGATATAATGCGTGAGCTTCGCCGTTTTATTGCGCATAATTTCAAGCATGAGAGAGCAAGAGAAACCATGACACGGAGTCTTCCAATATTCGGAATTTTTCCGCTGATGTAAACAGCAGGGTTTAGCGGTAAATTGCTCTGCCTGACCACGGTGGCAATCGACTTTACCTTATCTGAAATCTCCCTCTCAATCATCATTGTCAGCTGTGTAACACTCACACAGTACTGCACAGGGATGCTGAGCGCTTTAGCAAAAATGACTGAGATGGAGTCACCAAGAAATGGATTTTTTTCTAAATCCGTAGATGCACCACGCTGAATGGCGGGAAGCGCAAGTATCAAGATTTTGGCTGTGGCGATCTGTATGATTTCAGAAATCATGTCGGCCAAAACTGCTTGAACATCAGAATCCAAAAGTCCATTTTCTATTAAGATCCATTGTTCGTCAGAGAGCTTGTTGAAGGCATTATTGATAGTCGGTAACAGCTCATCTGGTGATAGGACCAGAGGAATATGAAAATTAGAATCCGGTGTTTGAGACATTGTTGTTCCACAAGGATTCCCTGTTAAAATCTTCCTGAAATGCTAAACTTTCTGATTTGAAAGAGTGGGGAACGTTTCACGTGTATGAACTGCCAGGCGAACTCTGGAAGCTGTAACCTTTTGACTTAGCTTGGGTCCTATTTGAGGACTGTCCCGGATCAAAGGCAGATCAGACTTGTGCCAAAAAGTGATTGTCTGCCAAAAACTGATTTCCGGTATTTGCCAAAAACTGATTGCTCGTATTTAAACTGCTATAAGTAACTTGTTG